TTTTGATTCAATGGGTTTGTTTGAATTGATAGTATCATAAAAAATTAAATTGATAAAAAATTTATTTATGAATGGTTAAATCTATTGAATTGTTACATGTTTAATCCAATTGCACATGGGTAGTTAAACTCCTTATTGAAGCCAAAACATAACCGACTTATATTTCTCTTATTTGTGCCATCCAACATTTTCGTGAACGAAGCTGTGCTATCAACATCACCTAGATAGCCCGTGAATGCAACATGGTTGTTGATTGTATAATCAAGCTTCCATGTCCTATTACGCTTCAAATCTTGTCTATTAACTCACCATCCCCAGACATCTAAGAACTACTAACTCGAGACATTACTGGTTCCTCTTTGTAAATGTGTTCTTGCTTAACCCTATGACTTAGGCTTCTCTTTATTAAAAAAATCTATTAAATTTTTAAAATAGAGATAAAATTAATAGAATGTATAAACTTTTTTGACTAAAAATATTTTTATATCATATTAGATGTTTATTTCAACTTTAAGAATAAAATAATTTATTTGAATATTATTTTAAGAATGGAATAATTTATTTGGAATATTATTGGAATAGGATCTAATTACATAGCATGCAACTTTGTACTTTTACACATATTTAAGATGGTTGTATGAGTGAAAATAAATGTATGAGATTAATAGTAGGAGATGAAAAATATTCACTAGAGGAAAAAAAAAGTTAATCCTAGCCTTCTATTTTCACTTTTTTTGGATAAGTTAAAATTTATTATCCAAATAGAAGAGTTCAGCAACAAAATGCACCCATACAAGGAGCAAAGACAAGCTACTTACAACAAACAATGGTTAGCCTATACCCTAATTGTTATAAAGAAAAATATTAACATTGTCAAGTCTGTTAAAATTTCTACCTCTAAGTTGAATGTCAACTATCTCCTTAATGGAGTTTGACATCACTTCAACCGTTCGAGACCTTCCTTGGAATAGTCTTCTATTTCTTTCCTCCCAAACAATATAAATGAAAGCACCCCAAGCAATCTTCATAATGGTAGTAAGGAGGGATTTACCTTTCCAAGTTCCACAAGCCCAAGCAAGCATATTATCCCATGACATAGAAGGCTTGAACAAGCAAGAGAGGTTCAATAAAGCTTTCCATAGGGAAACAACCGTTGCACGGTCAGAAAACAAGTGGTTTCTCAATTCGAGGGCCTCATTGCATAAAATACATGAACCATCATAAGTAATTCCTATTCGAGTAAGCCTCTCTCTAGATGGGAGTCTATCCAAGATTGTCATCCAAGAAATAATGATGAATTTAGGAATGTGGAGGGGAAACCAAATCAATTTATGCAATGAAACTTTGTCTCGTTTGACCCCAATCTTTTCCCAGATATCTTTAGTATTCGTTGCTCCTGCATTTAAAATAGGAAGAGCCTCTGTTTTTAGTTTCAAAAGTCTGTTGAAGCACCAACTAAAAGAAGCACCTCCGGTCATGACTCTAAAGTCTTTAGTCTTTATCACATAGCTATAAATCCAAGCAATCCATAAGGAGCCTTCACCAGCAAGAAGATTTTTAATGAGCTTCATCATGTAAGCTTTGTTCCAGGATTTTAAATCCTTTAGTCCGAGCCCTCCTTCAGATTTAGGACAACAGATTTTATCCCAGCTGACTCTAACAAAAGTAGCAGCTGTATCGAAACATTTCTATAAGAAACGAGAGCACAACTAGTTTATCCTGTTTATAACAGTCTGAGGCAGAAGAAACTGCCTGCACCAAAAGTTGGCTATACTGAGCAGGACAGTTTTGATTAGTTCCAGCCTTCCAGCATAGCTTAAGTGTTTCCTAGACCATTGATGAAGTCTTGATTTGATCTTGTCAATAAGGGTTGAGCAATCATTTTCAGTGAGTTTTCGAGTGACTAAAGGAACCCCAAGGTACCTCACTGGTAAGTAACCATAATTGAACCCAGTAGAATTTTTAATATTCTCAATGTTCCTTAGAGAAATTCCAACAGCAAACAGTTCACTTTTGGCAACATTTAACTTAAGCCCAGACATGTCATAGAAATGGTTCAGGACAATTATGACCCCAGTAATAGATTCAAGATTTCCTTTACAGAATATAAGAAGATCATCCGCAAAAGAGAGATGAGTGAAACCAATTTTTTTACATTTGGATGGTACCCGAAAATACCTTTGGCAGCAGCAGTGTTAAGTAATCTTGAAATGATGTTCATAGCAAGAACAAATAAAATGGGTGATAAAGGATCACCTTGTCTTATTCCCCTTTCTCCCTTGAAAAAACCAATCAAGGATCCATTGAAAGAAATAGAATATCTAGCTTCAGTAAAGCAAGCTTCAATTCAACCAATGAACTTTGATGGTAACCCTAAGGCCTTAAGAGTTGTAGAAATAAAACCCCAGTGGAGGGAATCAAAATCTTTTTGAAGGTCAATTTTAGGAGCACATTTTGGGGAAATAAACTTCCTTCCATAACCTTTCACCAGTTCTTAAGCGAGGAGAGTATTATCAATAATGGTTATACCATTAACAAAGATTGTTTGGTTAAAAGTTATAATTTCTGGAAGCAGATTAGTCAGCCTTTTGACAAGAATCTTGGTAATAGACTTATAAATCACTGAGCAGCAGGAAATAGACATGTAGTCTTTAACCTTGCTAGGATTAGAGATCTTTGGAACCAAGGCTATAATTGTGGGATTGAAAGCATGTAGAATGAATGACTTTTGGAAAAAGAATTTGATCGCATTAATTAAATCCTCACCAACCACTGACTAAGCCTTTTTAAAAAAACTATTAAGTGGAATTTTAACCCTTATATCTTCATAACTAAATGATCTTTAGTGTCATTTACCCTTTAAGATAATTAGAATATGATAACTTGAAAACACACACATTAAACTAGGGGTGCTTATTGAGCGAGTCGATTGCGAGTTAGGTTGTGTTCAACTCGTGCTTGTTAAAAAATTTTGTGACTCGACTCGTTGCTCGTTAAGCTTGTTAAAATTTTGCTCGACTCGTTAAGTTCGATGCTCGTTGCTCGTTAAGCTCGATGCTCGTTGTTCGCCTTGTTACTCGTTAAGCTCGATGCTCGTTGCTTGTCTCGTTGCTCGTTAAGCTCACTGAAATTTTTACCCTATTTTATTAACTATAGGTAACATCTACTAATACACTATACAGAGCTTAATATAAACATAAATTAATCCAAAACAATATCAAAAGAGTGTACACAGCATTTTCAAAGTCTAAATTCCAAAGTAACAATCCACAAATACATTAAAATAATAAATATGGTTTGATTTTTGAGTGTAGTAAAATATTAATTAATAATTTAGTATATTTTGTTGTTTATTAGAAAATCAATAGATTAGCAATTTATCATCTTTTTATTATCTATTAGTAAATTAGTAATTTTTTGAATGAAATAATTTTTTAAGATAACTACTAAAAAAAATTAACGAGTCGCTTGTAAACTTATCGAGTCGAGTTGAACTTTGCTCGACTCAACTCATTAAAATAACATTTTTTTAGAGAAATATTAGCTGCACGTGTAATAATTTCTTTTAATAATTCATACCTGGGTAAAGGTTCTTCTATGATTTCTTTCTTTAATTTTGAGAGTAACTCCAAGAGTTGAGCTAAATTTTAGCCAACATGTTGTCTAACTGGTTGGGAGACATTCAGAAAATGAAAGGGAAAAGATTCTTCCCAAGCCACAATGAAATCCAGGAAGAAAGCAATTGTTTCCCATATATATAATTTTAAACAAAATTTGAGATTAAGTTTATACAATGTTATCATAAAAAAAACAGGCTGTGGGTCATCTCAAAACTAGTAATGGGTGGTTCCAATTTCATATGCCCAGAAATCTTTGGGGGTCATCTCAAAGGAAACAGATAAATTCAAATAGCCCAGAAGGCTGTGGGTCTGGTCTGGACTTACCAATTTTAGTGTACTATTTATGGATTTGGTTTTGTACCAAAACGGAAACACCAAAATCAATTTACTCCTCTAAAACCTTTTTTTAATGCAAATAAAGTGAATAAATTTATTAAAAATAAAAAAATATTCCAAATTATATTGAAGTTTAAAAACTAAACACATAACTAGATTTTTTTCTATAATTATTTACACAACAAACTAGTCACTCGAGGTCATTCGAGAATCATACAAGAAATAAGTTAAAATTCATCCAAGGAACTCAAAGAAATGATAGATACAAATAAATCTGACTGCATCAATAAATAAACCATAACATTAAATTAAGCTACTGAAAGATCACCGACGACTATAAATCAGAATCAAGCATCGTGAGAAAACTATATACGAACACAAATTGTGTATCTAAGTACAATATGATGGTCCAAAGAAAAGAAGATCAACGGAATAACAAATAAATGTTATCTTGATCAATCAATACGACGTTAAATCTAATCTTGAAAATACAATAAAACGACATAAAACATATCTTTATCTTTTTTTAAGACAAAAAACAGAAAAAAAAATATGTATCATGAAAATAAAATTATTAAAAATAAAAAAATATAAAGAAAATTAAATTTTATATATAAAAAATAAATAGAAAGTAAAAAATACATACCATCGATGATGACTAATATCAAAATTGATTTCGCGGCTTGTCAAACCAAAATAATAAAGAATGGAACGGCAGCTAATATGGTGGAAGGAAAAAAAACGCTAGGTTTTGGTTACTCGTCTAAAACATAAAATCGGTGAGAAATTGAAAATTAAATATTTTGATTTATTACTAAAGTGGAACTCACCAAACAAATCTATTTTACCAAAATCAAGTAAAATAAAATGTTAAAACTAAATTGGTCTGAACCAAATTAAAGTAGATTATTAAAAAAAAAAATTAGGCCTGAACGAACCGAATCAACTCCACCGGTTTTTTCTCTCGTTTTCACTCTAATATCTGGATAAATAAATAAATAAATTCTTTCAATCGCATATTATCTTTCCACTGTTTTCTTTCTTTCACCGACAGAGGCGGTACAATCGCTTTCACCGGCAATGGCGGCGATATCGTCATTCTTTCACCGGCAGTAGCAACGACGGTAAGGTACTTTATCATTCATATTTCTCTATTTTCCCCCATGACTTCAACATTCTGTGCCTCCATTGTTTTATTTTCAAAACCTTTATCCTAAAGCAATTCAATTTTTCAAACCCATAAAAAATCAGGGTTTTACTTTAATTCCTTCCTTCGAATTCACAAAATTCCTAATTTTACAATCCACAATCTCCATCAAACTTCAAAACCCCACCTTTTAAGCCATACCCATTTCACATATTCGTCTATAATTCTGAATTTATCATATTCTTTATGATATATAAACTTGTCATAAGTCTAGGAAAATTACTAAGTTGAAGATTAGTGAAAACAATTAATTTTTCCTTATTGGATTTAGATTATAAGAAGTTTCTATTTTTTATATTAACAAATAAAATGAGATTGTTCTGTCAGAAACAAACTATTATTGTATTATTCTTCAAATAAAAGGGAAATTTTTTAATTAATATGTACGATAAATTTGAGAAATTAATTTCTTTGTGATGTTGATCTAGTTCTGATTGGTGATACAGTAGGCTAGATGGTGAAGATATTCAACCACTTGTCTATGATAATGAAACTAGTATAGTCAAGATTTAGGTTTATTTTGATCATTCTTTTAAGTGATTCTAAGGTTTTGTCTTTAAATTTATCAAATTTTTTTTATCTTAAAGATTCATTTTGAGTTAAACTTCTCAAAATTGAATCGACACTATAGTTTATTTTTATATTTTTAAGGAAAATTTTAAGGGACTTTAATTTGGTTTCTATTTCTCGTCATTGTCTTGTTCTATGCGTGCTTTTTTGATCTCATGATTATAAAATTTTCTTGATCCAATGCCTATAACTTGTAGTTAGAGTGCTAATTATCTATTTATTTTTCATTTGCTAATTGTTCTCTATAACTCTTTATGTCGATATTGTTCAAGATTATAGAAAACACTACCTTAATCCTAAGCAGCATGAAAATCAAGGTGATGACTCCACATGAAAGGACATATATTGTATGTATCAATGGTTGCATTTTATCATTTCTAAATGCTTTTCAGCTTGCTTTTTATCATTATGTGTATTTTCATTTGATCATTTGAGTTGACAATTCAATTCACATAACAAAATCCACGTTCTTGCCATTAATTTGTATTAAATGAGTCATAAATTAAGGAAATTTGTTTATCCATCTAGAAACATGATTTGCTTAAACTAATTTGGTTAGCTGTACATTCGTGAGTGTAACAATTTTACTTGTGCACCGATTGTGTTAGAAGAATCTCCTGTAAGAAATTAAATAACTAAAGAGGTAAAAAAGATGATCCCAAAGCAATTTCATGTATTGGGCAAAGGCGCTGCTATAGTTTTTGGAGGATTTCTGACTCTCAATCTTGCTGCTACTGTTGCCATTGGTGCATTTCGCTCTGTAGCAGAAAGGAAACGGGTAATGACAATTCGCCAAGCCCCACCCTTTTCTTGTTTTGTTTTCTTTTCTGATGTTTTGCGAGTGTGAAAATTTGCAATTTCTCTCTCTGGGTTTTGTAGAAAAAATCTGCCTTGCCTTGTGGGATTTGTAAAGGGAAAGGATTTTACTTATGCAAGTTGTGCAATGGAAATGCTACAATAAATTGGTCACCTTTGTATGATCCTATTCATATTAACCCTTGTGTTTGCCCTACTTGTGATGGTAACAGGTTAGTCTTCTTTCTTGATTCATTTGCCATTCAATACTTTCTTCTTGGAGAGGCTTTTCACTTGGTTCTAAAGGTTTCTTTGGGATTATGACAGGGTGCAGCGCTGCTTAAACTGTCTTGGCAATGGTTATAGTTGACTACTACTTGATTTGTAAGAGTTTTAACTGTGAATTTTTCATCACTTTATGTTTCTGTATCCCATTTTGTAAGTGAATTTGTGGATATTTTATGTTTCTGTGTCCCATTTTGTTAGTGAATCTGTGACTGTTTTTTCAGTGAACTGCTAAATAATCATCTTCGTGAAGCTGTTTCAATTTGGCACATTTAAATATGGATCATACTTGAGAATTATAAATTTATAATTCAGGATGTTGATGATGTGGCTAGGTTTTTATTTAAGTTGAAACCACTTAAGTTGTTGATGAAGTACTATTGGTGTAATAATCATGGTTAGGGTATTGTTGATGAAACTTCTAAGATGGGGTAGATTGTTTTGCAAATGTTCAAGCTATATTTTCTTGACATTTAATAAAATTACAAAAACCGCATAATGTTTGCTGTGTTATGGATTTTTTGCATGACTAACAGAGAAAACCTTAGGATTGTTGGCACGAGCATTATTCCGAATTTTTTTGGGTGGAGCACTGTAGAGAGTGGTTATGGATGTGGTCGTGTCGGAGTTCCTTTGCTGGCTTCTCTGTTCCATTTGTTTTTATTTGAACACCTCTAGTCCTTCCAAGAACTCTGCTAATCTTCGAGTCCGAACCTCTTATTGAGTGATTTCACTGGAGTTTCTTGTCCACCTATCCATTTCCCTCATTATATAACCTTGTCATTCACACTATTTTAAATCAGATGCTATGTGAAAATGAAGATATCTAACTATAAATGTGCCCTTGCTTCATGAATAATGAAATTTAGAACACCTTGAATATCCAGTCTCCTTCAGGTTGGTTATATTTATCATGAACTTTATGGTATCCGAAAATAAACGTAGACATTGAAGTCTTCTTTTACTACTTTTCGTGAGTGATTGATATTCAGAATTTGATGAACTGTTTTATGTGATTGTGTCTCCACTCTCCAGTACAATGAATCGTTGCTGTTGTTGTTCACTGAAAATTTCAATTGCAATTACAAGTTCTGCAAGCTTGCTATCTGTCGATCTTAGTTTATCCTTTGCTAGAAGTTTTGCCAAGTTAATGTTTTTCGCATAGGAAGGGAGAGTGATAGGTGCTGAGAAATCCATTTCCCCTAGAAATATCATATAATTGGAATTGGATCTATAGCTCCTTCAAATGGAGTATTTCTCTCGGAGAATATATTGCGGGGAAGAATTTCATTCATTATTTGATGACGAGAAAAGTATAATCTATTTTAATTTCTCTGCATGTTCTATAACGTCAGTTTAGTTCGATCTAGCATGTTTGTGTATTTTGTAATGTGATGGTGCCTTGATGTAGTGCGCATCCCTATGGAACATACATTTTTGTATTATTTCTTGTATAAAATTTATATCCGGCGGCTGAAGGAAAGAATGGAATATTCTAGGTGAATTCAGTCCAATATTTGCCATAGCATCAGCTGTGAAGTTGCCTTCTCCTTAAACATGTACCACTCGAACACTCCGTGCCCTTGTAAGAATTTAATGTATGCTTTGGAGAATTGCATTATGAACATCATAACTCGAGTTAAGAATAGCATGCAATTCCGTGTTGTTCCCTGTCTTCGACGATAGTATTCGAGCTTCCATACCAAGTGCCTGCATCAAACCATCGTATAAATAGTTCATAATTTCGCATCGAGTTCCAAACAGATCCAACTGTTGCATGCAAAACCTGTCAACCAATGACCATGATGGTACCCCAATACACCACCTGCAGAGCGAATCATGTGAAAGAAATACCAGCTTCATCCGTATTGGTCTTGTTATATCAATACATACTTCTGGAATATGTTTGAATCTGACGACCGAAAAACTGAAATTGATTAATTTAAACTAAATGAATTCAGATTTGAATTTGGTTAATTTTGATTCGTCACTTATGTAATAGTCATTTCTAAGAAACAAATGAATATATTGATATATCGAAGAAAAGGGATTAAAATGAAATAAATGAAATCTTGAGACAATAAAGTGTTGTTACTTAAAATTTAATACTTAAAATTGAGATTTTTTTATATATTTTCCAACATTTCAAGGGTGTATTTTTCTGAAGTTTTTTGAATTTAATATACATTAAATATCACTTGACACATTTTTAAATTGTCATTTATATATATTTAAAAATATAATAATATAACATATTTTAAGAAAAATTAGAAATTAAATTATTTTTTAACATCGAAGTATTACGAGTACAATTTTGTTAAGTAAAAAATTATTTATACTGTGATAAACCGAAATTTTTTTGTAAGCGATGCCGTCAGCAAGTGGAATTAGTTATTCTCATTCTTGGTCGAATCACAAACGACACCAAATCGAATAGTTTAAAATTCGAAAAATAAAAATTCATCGAACCCAGCGTAACCACGTCAGCTTCCACCTTATGTATAAGATACACTCAACTTTTTCTCTAACACAATTTTGGAGCTCAAACAAAAAGGGAAGCTCGAAAGAGCTCTAAGAAGTAAGAAAGGCTGCCCTGCGCTCTCTATCTTCATTTCCTTTGTTTCTCTCTCTATTCAAATCCCTAATTACCAGATTTCAATTCTGTTAATATTTAAAAGAAGAAAAAAAAGCATAAAGACCGAATCTAGTGTAAAGGATCTTGGGACAATTTCTTGTAGTTGTGTTTCAATCTTGATAATTGATAAGGATACGTGTTGATTTCATCTCTTCTGGATGAAAAAAGATAGATTTGTGGGAAGATATACTGGTGGACATTTTCTCCAGTTTGTGTTTATCTTGGCACTATCTTTGTTTATGGGTTTTCTAGTTGGTTGTATGAAGGGAGCTTTTGCTCAAAGTGAAGAAATTGATTACAATAGGAGCATGAGACAGTTGTAGGATCATAATGAACAAACAGATGGAAAACCGCATCTAATTTTCAAAGGAGTTATAATTGCATAAAAGAACAATTTGCTGGCAGAGAATAATATTCATATACAGCTTAATTCTGCATTTTAAAAATATATGCCATTGATGAGATGCATTGCTGATGTTGGCTGTAGCTTGGCCTTTTAGCAACGCCACAGCATTGAACATTTGGTAGATTCATTCTGTTGTTTGTGCCACTGGTAGTTGATAGTGATTCTCATCTTTGTCATATATTCCAGTTCTAGAAGTGTGGGTTTTGTAAGGATAATAATAAAGAAGTGGTTACTGTTAAAAAAACTGATTGTGAACTAATTGTTAAACTTCCTGGAATTATAATGCAGTCCCAAAATTGTCTCTGCTACAACCATAACTATCTGCATCATTTCTCATTATATATTGATAACTACTTGGTCCAGATAATTTTTTTTTGGTGATGCCTGTCTGCTATTTCTAAAGCTCATCTAATGTTGTGAAAATTCTCATTTTTCCTTGGGATGTTATGTTTTGTACTTTTTAATCATTCACTTTCTGCCTTTTCAAAGGTCCGGTAACTTGGCATTTGTTTGGACATTAGAGATTTAAATATGCCAAAGGAGAGAAGAGATTGTTCCCTTTCTTCTGATAGGTGCAGGAGATCCCCCTTCTCCTGTCACCAATCATCACCCAAATTCCCTTCAGAAACTGAGCAAAATCTAAAGGAATGGGAATTTTAAAGTTTACTTTTCTCGACTGTCGAGAGATATTTGTTTCTGGTTCTTTGGAGAATTTTGTGATGTTCAGAGCTGTTTATTCGCCTATTCTTGCCAGGTTGCCATTTGATTTAAAATACTATTTATGATCTTTGGTAAAAATAAGGTAAGATACAGGAAATTTTATAGCATTGTACTGTTTTGAATAAATATTAAAATAGTTAAAAAACATAATAATTTACGGGAATGTATTTAAAATGTTACAATGTTGTTAGGAAAAGATTGTTTTTCTACTATTAATATGTTAATTCCTCTTTGATATCTTTTATATTAATTACATTTATATATCTATTAATAACATTTGTATAGATTTATAATTTAGTTTTACAATAATAGAAGTTAATCTCTTCCTCGTTGACATTATTTTATGTATTTTATTAAATTTTACTTTTATGTTAAAGGGCTTTTTCAGAATTTCCCGTATCCTTATGGCTTGGTATCAGGTCAAATAATAAGTGAACCTACGTGGGAGTTAATTATGTACTGTATTCGTATTAAAATTTTAATAATTTATATTTATTTTAAAAACGAGTTTTTTAAACAATTTAAAGAAAAACGGAGTTCTAGTTAATCGGCGATTTTATATAATTTTATTAATAATATTATTAGTATTTGATTTATTTATTTATTCAAATTATGTATTATATAAATTTATCATAATAATCATTTTAATTAAGATTTTTTAATAAAAATATTATCCCCCAAAAAAGATTTAAACATTTATTTAACTAGACTTTAACTTAAAAACATATTAATCGTTGTATAAGAAACAGGCATATTAGTTATTTTTATTCGCAAAGAATCACTTGGTAATAGTTTAAGAACATATTATTAAACAAAGACCCGATATAAAAATAACTGCTAAAATTACGTCTATTTTTATATTTAGGTGTTTAATTTTTTTTTGTTGGTTTAGGTGTGTAATTTCTAATGTTATTATTTAGGTGCATACATTGTAATGGCTTTTAAAAGATTCGTTAAAAATAAATAAATCAATCAATATTTGACACATGACTTGTTTTTTTATTTTCTTCATTTTTTTAAAAAATAAAATTTTTAATTTTTAAAAAATTCAAAATTTTCTTATTTTTCATAAAATGTCCAAAGACTTTCCATTCCAGCGCCAATTATCATTGCCACTGATGAACATCGACTCACTCGTCGATCACTAATCCACCGACCATCCACCGATCACCCATCCATCAATTGACGATGGTAGATTTAGGGATTTGAGTTTAGGGATTTTGGGGGTTTGAAGTCACGATTAGCGACGATCGATGGGTGGATAGGAGGTTATCGGTGGGTAGGTCGTTGGAGGGGGCGACAACGGCGGTGGACGGCCGATGAGTGGGGTGGGTGCTTTGCGATTAAGGATTTTGAGATTTTTTTGGAGATGTTAGAAACTTTTTTAATTTTTTTTTGAATAATAATAATAATTTAATTTGTTCAAATAAATTTTTAAAAATTTATAAAGGCGTCAAGTGTCACATTCTGAGTGGTTGACGGGATTTTTTTAACGTTTGTTACGGTCGAGGCACCTAAATGATAACATTGGGATCGATAGGCACCTAAATTGACAAAAGAAAGTTTAAATACCTAAGGAAGCGTTTGGTTCACAAAATGTAAGATTACTTTGGGAATAAGATTACTGAAATGTAACATTACTCTGGGAATATTATATTACCATGTTTGGTTTGTTAGCAGAAATGTAAAATTACAATGTTTGGTTAGAGGAATATAAGATTACTTGAATGAATATTTTACCAAATTATCTTTGTGATGTATATTCTTTTTAACAAGTTAAACTTTAATATTAAATTATAAATATTTGACTGAAAATTTATAAATATTTTAATTGTTACACTATCTAAGTTTAAAGAAAAATACATTTAACATGTAATTAATATAATTAGTATATCAAACTTATATTTTTAAATAATTTTCATATTTATTTATATAAAATGTAATATAATATGAAAAATATTATTGTGATGTTAAACAATGTTTTGTAATATTTTTATATAACAAATTAATGACAAAATATTTTTGGACTTGATTGAATTTGTTCAATGTTTTCAAAAATAATTCAAAGTCCATTAAACAATAATTTGAACACAAAATAGTTTTCTTGATAAGTATTATCGATTATGTTCTTATAGTATCGATACTACATGAACAATATTGATACTATTCATTTGATATCGATACCAAAGGTAAGAGAAGTATTGATACTCTCTTGATAATATAGATATTACTTGTTGTCTTCCAAAGTGTTCAAATTTCATAATGTAAAATTGGTACCGATACTTTAGGGGTACCGATACTACTTTACACACATATTCAATACTGTGAAACCCTAGTATCAATATTGGTCAAGCCTAACAGTCGTTAATGGCTAGTTCATTTAAATATTATAAAGGAAGTATCGATACTCATTTAAAGAGTACTGATACTCCTTGTGCTGGACAATTTTGTTTTACAAAAAAAATAATCTTAATGGCTCCAAAACATCCCCAGCGGTTTGAAACAGCCAAAAACACATTCTAACAAATAAAAAAAGTCAATGACACTTGAAGAAGGTTAAAATATCTATCCAAACAATAAAGATCAAGAGAAAAACACTTTCACTCTTTATTTTTTTTCCTTTTCTCTTATACATAAATGTTTGAGCTCATTGTAAATCTTTTAATTATTTTATTGTGAGCTTAATTATTGTAAGCACCTACCTTTGTGAGGTTTTTTTGTTTACATTTTTTATCCTTTATAAAAGGGAGTGGTTCTAGTTTAGCATTTGAAAACTAGGGAATTATAAATTTTACTCTTGAGCCTAAAAAAAAGAATAAATTAGTGGATTTTTTTAGAAAATCCTTAGTGTGGAGCTAAGGTTGTGGACTTAGACTTGGTTTAGAAGTCGAGCCAATATAAATCCTTGTGCAAATTGTCTATATTTCCTTACTCCATACCCAACTTTTTTAAAGGCCAATTCATCCCTCTTGACTTATTTCGGTTGTTTCATAGAGCCTTAATAATCCTAACAATTGATAGAGATTGACTCATTATAAGGTTTAACAACCTTAAGATGATATTTGAAGAGCTCTATCAATTTCCATCTAAACCAAGAAGATGACTTCAACCTATGGCTCATACTACCTTGAAGACCCCTACTCTATCACAAGGTCTCCCTACTTTAATGGTCAAACTACTCGTATTGCAAGAATAGGATGATGATGTTTATTCAAGTCATCGATCTTTCAGTTTGGGATGTAATAACCGACGATTCTCCCACCCTTCCAAGAAATCGATCGGAGTGGACAAGTGAAGATAAAAAGCTAGCCTAACTCAATGCTAAAACCATGCACATCCTCTTTTATGATCTTGACTCAAACGAATATAGTAGAGTATCTTCTTGCTCTAATGCTAAGGAGATTTGGGATAAATTGGAGGTGACTCATGAAGGGACAAGCCAAGTGAAGAAGTAAGTCCAAAGTTGGCATTCTCACACTCTCCTATGAGAACTTCAAGATGAAGTCTGATGAAGACATAAAGACGATGTCCAATCGATTCACTTCCGTCACATATCCAAGTAATAAAGATCAAGAGAAAAACTCTTTAATTCTTTATTTTCTCTTTTCTTTTGTACATAAGTGTTTGAGCTCATTGCAAATCTTTTAATTGTTTTATTGTGAGCTTAATTATCGTAAACACATACCTTTGTGATGTTTTCTTGTTTACATTTCTATCCTTTGTAAAAGGGGAGAGGTTTTAGCCTTTAAAAAACTAGGGAATTGTAAATGTTACTCTTGAGTCTAGAAAAAGAAAGAACAAATTAACAAATTTGTTAGAAAATTCTTAGTGTAGAGCTAAGATGGTGGATATATACTTGATTTAGAAGTCGAGCAACTATAAATATCTGTGCAGATTGTTTATTTTTCCTTAATCCATACCCAAAATTTTTAAAGACCATTTCACCTCCCTTCTTGGCTTATTTCGGTTGTTTCATAAAACCTCAATAATCTTAACATATGGTCTTGAGTGGACATATATTATTTTTCAATGGATAAGATCTATTTTTTAATAACTCATAATTATATATTGTTTTAAATTATTACATTTTTTTTTACAATAATAACATTTTCACCTCATGAAATTGTAAAATGATTAATATATTAAATATTAAAAATATAAAATAATTTTAACTACTCAAATTTGTTAATATTTTATTAAATATTAAAAACCTCAATAATTTTAACTTTTTTATATTATTATTATTGTTAAATTTTACACTTTTGAGTAAAGCACAAAGAATAAAAATTGAGAATGATCCATATGAAAAGAATTAATTATTTGAGGGGTATTTTTGTTTAAAGCAGTGAAAATTGTTCATTACCTAAGAATTTGGAGGTAATGACATTCCTGCCATTTTAACAAAAAAATGCTACTATTGGTAATAAGTTATTATTTGGTAATGATCTTTTTCGTGGATCAAATGCGCAAATACAATTCCGTAAAGGATTATTTTCCTTGATAATGAAATTTTTCGAGAACTAAAAGTCCCTAAATGAAAAAAAATATAGTTTGGTCAATTTTTTATAGGGGTAAATTATACTATTGATCACCTAACTATTGTCCCTTTTCATTTTGACTATTATTTTTGAAATTTTGTCAATCAGGTCATCCATCTATTTAAACGCATTCAATCAAGTCAATTTTCGTTAACAATTAACATAAGTAATAACGTGGCAATTAATAAAATTGGTATAATTACACATTTGGTTATTAATATTTATGTATTCTATCAATTTAGTCATAATTTAATTTAATTCAATAAATTTAATCCTCTAATCATTTGATGACAGGTTTCATCATTGGGTTAAAGGAAAAATAACTTTAAAAAATTGAGAGGTAAAGGAATTAAACTCATGTCCAAGCAACTAAGGGAAGTTAAGCAAGCAATGCCACTGAGCCAAACCTTCGTTTGTGATTTGGTTTACATAATTTTGTATAAAATATATTATGATTATTTCCAAAAAAAAATAAAGAAAGAAAAAATCTTTATTTATGGACTTAAACATAAGCAAATTATGTGATTAGGGACTTTAATTTTAAATTAATGCAAAAATAAAAATATTATATTTTTAGACAAAATTTAATATTTCTTCTTTTTCATGATTACAATTAAAAGATTAAAATTTTTACATTTGAGTTGAAAAATATTTTCCAAGTGCACCTTTTATCCAACAATTATAAGTTTATAAATTATAAAATAAACACACCATATGATAACAAATAAATGTTAAAAATATAATTTTGGCTAAAAATTAATTTTCAAATTCAAAAATTAAAATTTGTAACATTTACTTTTGAGTTAAAGAAATGTGTATAAAACATATTTTTTTCCTTTTAAATATTATCGTTTAATATTTTTTATAAATTTAAAAATATTTTTTAAAAATAATGATGAATGTGTTAATTTAAATGGCTAAAATTTAAAGATAATTGTTTATACATTCTATTTAAAAAAATTAATTTACTTTTATTTTTAGTTTTGTATTAATTTGAGATTATTTTAAGGTTAATGGTTTAAATTTAAAGATAATAATTATTTTTTTCTCAGTGGCCACAATATATTTTATACAAAATTATATAAATCAATTTATAAATGAAGATTTGACTTGGTGGCATTGCTCACTTAGCTTTAACCAATCTTTTGGACGTTAGTTTGATTCCCGCCCTTCTCATCTCTTTAAAAGTTATTTTTCTTTATTATGTATAAATATTGATAATCAAATATATAATTATATCAATGTTATTAAGGCTTAAACAAACATATACTTAGGTGTAAAGCTGTGGACAATCATAGCCATCTTGTCTTTGCCAATTGCCATATTTGCCTCACATTTATTATCTTTTTCCCCTTCTCTTCTGTTTCAATTTCCTCTTGAAAAGAAAATTAATAGGAAAATCAGATCCTTTTAGCCTCAACACATAGTTTGATCTCAGCGAGTCTTTAACATACTGAAACACAAGGAAAAACATTTCTGGGACTTCTGTAAATCTTTTTCGGCAAACTTTTTTTTTTTTTTGTGTCAACGAGAAGAAAAAAAAGATGGGGACAGGAGAAGAGCTCTGGGAATCAAAATGGGTGTCATAGCGATATAACCAATGTAATTTTAAATGTATATGATCTAACTGCCATCAATAATTACTTTTATTGGGTTGGTTTCGGGATTTTCCACTCCGGTATTCAAGGCTTGTTATCGTTTCTGCATTCTCTTTGTTTTCTTTTAATATTGGATTTGTCTGTTTCTTTGTATGTTTTGGGATGTGGGTATTGATTATTTTAGCTTCTCATTGCATTTGGTTTATCTTGATAGGAAATGGATATGGGTTTCCTGATATTCGTTTTAAATGATTTTTACTTGATTATCTCTATTATGCAGCTCCAGTCTGTTCTGAATCTTCATGAGACTGAAGCTAAGGTCGCTGAGTTACGCAATAAATTTAGGGGTCAAACTGTTATGCTTGGGGTTGATGACATGGACATTTTTAAGGGGATCAGCCTGAAGCTTTTGGCCATGGAACAATTGCTCATGCAACATACTGAGAATACAGGTGAAGTTGTTTTGGTTCAAATTGCAAATCCTTTAAGAGGCCGGGGAAGAGATGTACAAGAGATCCAGTCTGAAACTTATGCTACAGTGAGGAGAATTAATAATGCTTTTGGAAGACCGGTGTATGATCCGGTGGTTTTGATTGATGCCCCTCTCCAGTTTTACAAACGGATTGCTTTCTACGTTATCGCTGAAGATTAATATTCATTTAGGTTTTCATTTGGGAAAGAAAGGTTCTTTTTGGTGGGGGCGGGGGGTGGGGTAATTTGAACCATAATAATGTATGAATTGTGGATAAATGAGATCTTTTGATGTTTGCTTAGATCTTTTTATGAACTAATGAATTCATCGTCCAATTTTACAGTGGTTTTTGTTGGTTTATTTGCGTGTGTAAAATTCTACAGTAGTTTTTTCACTGTATGATGTTTGAAAAGTTGTGTATGCATGAGGCAATGCGTTTCTATTTTAGCAAGATTTTGTAGGTCTTAAAATTTCAACATTTTACTTTTGGTCTTAAAGTTTTCTCAGTTTCTACTTCTGGTATATGTTATTCGGATTGGTTGAATATAGATTGTGGTGAATGACTCAAAGTTCCATTTAGTTAGATTTAAGATTAGGCATTGTTGGTAGATGGTACTGGGCAGGATTGAAATGTATCGAATCTTGAAGAACTTGTAGCAGACTCGAAATTAAACAGCTTATTGCTAGATACTTCATTTCCATTTAGTCGTTTCAATATGAAATCACGTTGTTGAGGGCTTTTGGCTAAATACTTCCTATGTTGTTAATCCTTTTCTATTTCAGGAAACTGAACTATTATCTCAATATTTATGTACAATTCATAATAAAGAGTATGGGTTTGGGGCACATGACTTTCCAATTAGTGGAGTTTTTGAAGTAGAGCCAAAGAGCTGCCCTGGTTTTATCTACCGATGTTCCATCTCATTGGGATTCATACACATGCCTTTCTCTGAATTCAGAGCATTGATCGAGAGTGTAGCTTCTGAGTATCATGGAGATACCTATCACCTCATCTCCAAGAACTGTAATCACTTTACAGAAGACATGGTTCATAGATTGACCGGCAAACATATCCCCAGATGGGTAAACCGGCTGGCTCGGCTAGGTTTGTTGATCCTTCCAGTTGTTTATCAAATTATGTGTATGCATATATATGTGTGTATGCATATATATGTGTGTGCAGTCATTCAATTTATCTTATCTTTCTTGTTCAAATTATCCATAACATTTGATGACATCAATGATTTTCTCTTCCTTACATTATACCATACCCTGGTTCTAGGACCCATTGGAAGGCAAACAACCGCTAAGTTAGGCTTAGATTGTTATATAGTCTGGTTTTCGCCCTCCATAGTTGGCAATTTCTTCTAGAAATAAACGACACAGTAAAAAGCATTAAGTTTATGATTTGTCCAAAATGTAGGTTATTTTTGCAGCTGTCTGCTTCCTGAAAGCCTTCAAGTAACCACAGTGAAGCAGTTGCCTGAATACCACGAAATCGGTATGCTTCCTGTCTCTACTTCAGTCTTTGAAAAGCTGAATCTTCCATTTACTCGACTCAAATTTCTCATTATGATCATATTTGGGACTTTCTTCTGCTTCTTTTGGCCGTCTTACTTCCAGAAGAAGAAACTGAATCTCTCTCGACAGCCAGCCCTGGGGACTCAATAGAAATGGATGATACAGATCCGGAGAAGCAGTTGCTCTCACCAAAAGAGGGACCTTTGGATATATCTTTCATTAAAGAAGCCCAAACGTATGACTGCAGGGGGGCTTAAAAAGGAGAGCTTACATTCCATGACTTTCGTTTGAATGTTGTAATTAGATTTCTAGTATTCTTTCCATTTTTGGGGCTTCCTCATTTATTTTTCTCCTGTTCATTATTTAAGCAGAAGACTTCGGAGCTGGAAATGTAGTTTGTTGTTGAAGCTCTGTGTGAGTGGTTATACATTAAACTTTTGGATGCCAAATGGCGTAGCAGATAATTTCTTGTGAGCATTTCTGATGGAAAGTTGAACATTTCAAAATTAGGTATTTTGCATCAGTTGAATAATAGTTGGAAGAAATTACAGGTGGTTTTCCCAACCTTCATCAACAGCGGCTCATTCCCCAACCTTGCCAACGATGCACCTCTCGAGCCACTTGAAATTCTCGGGGGAATTGTTTTTCTCCAACTTGTTCTCCAGAGGTCTCTCAGTTCATCGCATTATTTGCCCAGTTCATGTTACAAACTCAAACCATAATCGAGCACATTATAAATGACCAGCTTCCGAATGGAATAATGGGTGTCAGTCCCTTATAATCTAATATAGTTTGGATAGATAGTTCTACCTTTACGAAAATGCTCCTCCATGACTGTCAATAACAAGAACTCAGTACATCAATAATTCTATTGACGCCAGATAATCGGTGTCTCTAACAGTGAATAGCAATGAAAAGCATTGGGGAAAGTATAGTATATTGCCAAGTTGGTGGCCAAATAGTTAAATGTTCTCATGTTCCATCACAAAGTTCCAGCAAGATCCATGAACAAATCAAGCAATATCAGCTCAAAGAGAAATAATTATGTATGCATATCAACACTACCCAGAATAATTTTGCTGCCTTTAGTTACTTGCAACTTAAAAATAATTTCTCTTCTCCATTTCACTTGCTCCAAAAGACAAACATTTTCTCGTTGCAACATTAAGCAGATCGACCACCAAGACCCAGTTTTGAAGTTAACCAAGCACAAACATCTTCCATCTCCTCTGGAATGGTATAGTGACCAAGCCTAAATTGTTCAATAAAGTATTCAGTTTAAGTCATATTGTCAAATGTATAAGAAATATGATAGTTATCTGACATTAAAGAGCTGTACCCATTGTAGGATTTTTTTTTATAGGAATAATAGGTCTTATTAAAAACCTCATTTTTAGTAGTCCTTTACCATGAGGTTAGAACCGACTAGCGGAAGGAGGAAAAGAGTACCTCAATATATTGATTTCAAAAAAAGATTACATAAGACTTAAACCACTCGTTGAAGATACATAAGACTTAAACTCACTCATATAACACCCTCGGAATAAAACCTCCGAACCTAGTACAACAAAGTGAACCATTACCCAAACCCCTCCTTAGCTAGCAAATTTGCCTCGCTATTACAACTTCTCGAAATCCACCTCACAATGACTTCATTCTCAGAAACCGCATCCGCAATATCCTTAACAAACTTAAAAGGATAAAGTGGAACTGACTCCTGAAATTTCAACCAATCGACGGCTAACTTACAATCACTTTCAATAATAAGCCTACCCTTCAAAACCCATTCTGATGCCACAAAGATGTCTAAACCTCTTTTGATAGCTTTCAACTCTGCCAAAATGATAGGACTAGAACCTAATTTTTCTGAGAACGACATAAGCTTGACCTGATTCCAATCTCTTAGAATTCCCCCAATTCCAGCTAACATCCCAACAAAACTCACAGTTCCATCCACGTTAAACTTAAAAAAATCAACTGGAGGAGGACTCCAGCAAAGCACAGGCCTGTTAAAATCCATACTGGCTGAAATTTTATTAGCCAATGAAGGATCCCCAATTAAAGAAACCACTTGGATAGAGAGTAAAGGATACTTAGCGAGGAACCATTTCGCTAACCTTAACCTAACTGTGAAAAACAGTGAGGATGTATCCAGCTTACCTCTTTCAAAAATAATTTAATTTCGCATCTTCCAAATTGACCATAAAATAGCCCCCGGGATAAACTTCCACATATTAGAATAAGGTCTTAGAACAGACCATGAATTTAAAACTGAAGATGGATCAGCAGGTAAGGCTAATTTGATACCCCAATAACATATGATTTTGTTCCATAATATCCACGAAATCTGGCAGGAAATAAATAGGTGCTGAACTGATTCTTCAACTTGATTGCAAAAGGGGCATTGAATGTCCTCCCCCAAAGGAACCCCCCTTTTCTTCAATTCCACTCTAACCGCTAATTTATTAAGTGATACTTGCCAAAGGAAAACCTCTACTCGAGGAGGAACCAGACCCTGCCAAACACATTTAGTCCATCTAAAGGGATCCTCATCAGTTGGGTAGAATGATTTCGTGCAAGCTTTGACAGAATATAACCCCTCACCCACATCGTCCCAAAGCATACAATCCTCCAAAGAATCATTTAATTTGATATCCTTGAGCCTATCCAATAATTCAACCAGTTGCACCACTTCCCAATCACATAAATTCCTCCTAGTCTTAATATTCCACTCCCATTGTAGGATTTGAAAGTCGTGTCCTGAAATCCATTTGAACTCAATGCTCGAGAGGATTTCTCACCGAATTTATATGGAACCACATCATCACCTGCAACCAACAATTTAATATAATATTATTCACACACGAATAAATGTAGCCAGTAACCTTTATGCTAAATATGAAACTAGAGCTATAACACGACTACAAATGAATTCAGTAGAATGATTGCAACTGCCTAGCTAATCACCAAATATTTCAAACATGAGCTTAGGCTTTGGTAATGACAATGTTTTACTTGAGTCTGGGAATCTTGAACTTTTGTTCTTTCAAACAACTCCTGATATGTAAATACCAAAGAGATGCTCACTTGGATCAGAATTGTTCAGATTTGAGAATGATTAGCTATGGAGGATTTATAGACATTTTTAAGTGGGCTATTTCTTTCTCTTTGTAAATTAGGCAACAACTTATTATTCAATTACTTACGAGGTACAATAAGCCTAATAAATCCATAAGGCTCTCATACAACATCAAATGTACACAACGTTTAGCTAACAACAGGAATGTGTAAAATTGAATACATTTCTCGATCACAACTCAGCCTTCCATTGATCCCTGGGAAAAGCAGAAATTTTAGATGTTGTGCAAGTACTTTCTTTTATTACCCTTGAATACTAATCTAATTAAATAAACAGGGAGTTTTTTTTAGTTCTGAAGAACTAAAACTCAGGTTGACACTATACGCTTGATTGGCCAAACATTTTATTTGGATACCATCTTATCATATCCTGATGTTACTTCCCAATAAATAGACACGGTGCTAGTGCTAATGGTCGTCGCACCACTTCTATACCAAAGATAATAAGTAGAGCAATAATTGGACACCACCTATGACAAAATGACCATGAATAAACCAAGGATAATTTGCATTTATGAATGTGATTATAAATACCTTTTCCATGGCATAGCAAAATGGGTAAGCATGTAGCACGTCTCGCAGCCTCATCCTGTCTTATTTTGTTTTTCAAAGTCCTGAAAAGGAATAGATGTCATAACAACAAACCGGACAAATGGGGTTCAGAGAGAAAAAAGTATCAAACTCGCATGAAAAGGTGCCAATGTAGGAAACCAACCTTGAACATGGAAGCCATCCACTAAGTCCTACAACTGCACTCAAATTGGGAGGATACGGATTGCCATTTTCATATTTTCCATGAGTAAAATAGGTTGCAGAGTATAGGGAGGTAGCTGCACCCATGCTGAAGCCTCCAACACCAAGTTTAACTGTAATTGGAAAGAAAAAAACAACTACTATTAGAATAATGTAATAAACAACGACCATGACAATACTTCACTGCTAAAACTGAAAACTAAGGTGAGCCAGTTATTTACAGTGTATGAGCATTCTGAAAAATCCGCCACAAAAGAAATACACATCTTTATCCTACTAGCTCATATGCAAGGAACCAGAAAATGAAACTAAAAGGCACACTAAATGTAATGACTCCAAAAATTAGCACTGAATGTTCTCATGCCATGTTTTACAGCCAAGAAAGGAAGAAAAAAATGGTTTACATTTGGTAGCAAAATTCATGGAAAATAGAATTAAAAGCTAGAAATCTTGCAGAATTTATATCTTGAATGGCAGTTGCACTATGTAAAATTCCCCTTCTCCTGAATTCTGACAATAAAACAAAATACAAGTGTCTAAATGCATAACACATTTATACCTAACTATTCAAGAACCCCCCCCCCCCCCCAAACAAGCTCTTCCCATGTGTGTGTATAGCATCACTAAAACCTCATCAAAAGTGGCAAGCAGAAACATACTGTCAGCAGGCTCCGTTGAAAACAAATTGGCAACATGTGCTGCAGCAGCATCCAAACCCTCTATATCATCAGGAGCATCTTCTGAAATGTCCCCCACATCAAACCCTGAGTATAATGTCACATTAGGTTTCAAAAATTTGATTAGCATTTAAAGCATTTTCATCAAAGACAAAGGTTGAAGAAAAAGAAATTAAATGCATTTTGTTCCCTTGATACAAGATTGCGTCATTACAGATTCCAGAAAATACTTGCAAGCTGTTGATGGAAAACCACCAAAAATAGTTATTGGTTGAATAGGGGCAGTTGGGCATATCCATTTAATCTGCACATAGGATCACAAGCATGGAAAATCATTAAGTTATCAAGAAAAAGTAAATTCATTGGTTGGTACTTAATAGGAAGAAATATTCTCCTAAAATTGTGTGCTACAAACAGCCATCCATCCTTGGAAGAGGGAGGGTCTCTAGGAGCTGGGACCAGCTGGCAAAAAGATGAAAGAACAATGAGGACGAGTAGATATTACAAAAGATATCAAGGTTTATTGGTCTATAATTGAGATCACTGAGCACAAATATAAAGAACCTGACATGAGAGCTTAACTCAGATTGCAAATGGCACTCATTAACTTATTGGATGAAAAGACATGTTAAAACATAAACTAATATTGGAAAATTAAACTATAATGTGTATATGTGTGTCTGTGCGTTGATAAAAGAAGTTTCTTTGCATGCAAACTTTAATTCTGTACTAATTAATTTAAGCATATAGCAATAAGACTATACTAGAAGGGGAACAAGGCAAAATTATTTCTTTAATCACCCGAACCAGAAGTAATAATAAGAAATCATCTCTTAATTAACTGGAGTTAACCAGTGCAATCAGCTAAATAAAAAGGGGGGAAAGAAGTTATAGAATCAGTAAAAAGAACAGTCACAAACAATCCTAGAAAAAGTCGAT